ATTAATGAAAAAAAATCTAATTTTTTTTTCAAAAAAAAACCTAAAACAATATCTCATTAGAGAGTTTATATAAAATAAATAACATATCATTTAACACAACACAACATGATAATTGATGATATATATAAAAAAAAACAATATAATAATATAATCTATAAAATGAATAATTTTATACTTTAAACAAATTTGTTTCTCAACAAAAAAAAATATAAATTTATTTTTAAAAATTAATCTTCATGTTACAATATTTTTTATAAAAGTTTTATAATTTTATAAACTCATACCTAGATCAAAGCTCAACTTGAGCACGGGCTTTATAAATTTAAACATAAAATTTGTTTTATTTAGAACTTTTTTCTTCTAATAGTTTGGATACCCCTTGAATTCAATTTTAACTTCTTTATTTTTTATTTTATAAACACCAAGAAAATTTAGGTATCCTTGAATTCAATTTTAACTTCTTTACTTTTTATTTTATAAACACTAAAAAAAATTTGTATCTTTTTTACATGGGATAGAGTTATTTTAGAGAACCAACTAAGAATTATTTAAAATTAATTTTTTATTCATCTATAATTTATTTAAATCATATTAATATTTCATGTTAAAAAGTATATGTTGAAGATTAAATTCCAACAAAACTTCAACCAAAAAAATAAGCTAATCACACCTTTAATTTAGTTTTAAATGTGCTTATTAACTATGTTATTAAACAAATTTTCCCACATCAAACACTATCTTGCTCTTTTTAGCAATATTATGCCATGAATATTTTGAGATTCTACTAAACTTTATTAATAAATGTAAAATTCAGTTTTTGAGTTTAATTGCTCAAGTGACAAAGTAGATAAAAAATTAAGAAGATGAAAACAATGTTTTATAAAGAAAAAATTTGTACATGGATAGATCTATTTATTCTCTAGAAAAGACTTGGTTGGGTCCTAACTAAGCTACCTTAATTTTTATATATATTATCATTCCCCTAAATAACTAAAATGGATGAAAAATACTTACAATGTAAGAGTTTATCTATGTTTATGCATAAAAATATTGATTTTATGTGCAAATCTTAAAATATATTTTTTTTAATTCATTAAAGGTTTTTTTAGACAATTTATCATGATACTTAAAAACAAGTGCTCACAATAACCTAGAGATAATTGGTCATGGAGACTTAAAGACAAGTGATAACAAGAGCCTCGAGATAGATGGCTATGGGGACCTAAGGACATAATAGAGATTCAATGGAGATTTCAACATGAAAAATTCATTGAGATATTTTATGTTTGGATATATATTATCATTTTAAAAGCTGATTGAGATACAATTCCTAAAATTTATTGCATTTGAGGTAGTACATCACAATGATTATTTTCTTTTTGTTCATATTATATCTCTTTTTTCATAAATTATTGAAGATACCCTTAAAAAACTAGTGTTTCTTTTTCTTTTATAAATGCATAACACTCTTTTATTTCGTGTCCATGATCATAATGAAAGAGACAAAACTTGTTAAGGTTCCTTGTGTTTGAGCCACTTTTTATTGGAGGTGGACATTGCAAGAAGTTTTTTTTCTTAGTGACAACCAACATTTAACATCTCTCATTGTAAGAGGTATGGTCATAATCTTAAGGAATGAAAAATGATCATATATGTGTTTTTTAGTGATTTTTTTAGATGCTTTTATTAGAGATTGATGGTATGGTAAAAACTCTTCTTATGTATGGAAGGGTTGGTGACCTTAGTTGCTCACACTAGCTTCTTCTACCCTAATGTAGTTTTTCATCACATGTTTTATGCTAATGAGATTTTTTTTTCAAATACTATGTATAAGTTTTGCTATACGGAATAGTTTTATATTGTTAGAGCTTTGGCAATAATGAGTTTAAGCAAATTTTTCACGCTTGGTATTTTCTCATTAAATCTTTAGATATATGCTTTCATGCTTGCATCACCTTATTGTATGATGGAAAAGAGCTTTGTAGTGTTTTTTTGGTAGGAATGTTAGTACTGAAATGAGATGTGAGTTTCAAACAATGATCATGAAGACCTAAAATAAAACCAGATTTAATACTATAATATCACACCATAGCAAATTGATAGAAAGTTGCAGGGAACATTCATTCTTTATTATCACTAAATCTAAGATATTTCTAACATTTTGCATGTGCTTCCTTGAGTTAATATGATTATTATAATTATTTAGGTTAGATTTAGCAACGATATAATTCTTGTGATAAAGTAAAGACTCTTCTATTTGGTAGGAATGGTGTGCAGAAGTCAGGGCTGGTGTAATCTTATGAATGTCATGCTTAGTTTTTTTTTTTTGTGACAAGAACATACAAAAGAGAACATCAAGATTCGGAAGAATATTGGTGGAGATGACCATATTTATGACTTGGATTTGATAAGGAAGTTCTATCTTATTTGAAGAGTTGGAGTATAATGTATATTTGATGTATTGTTTTGTCTAGTTTCTTGTTGAAACTAAAGTTATCTTATATATTAAGTTGACTTTTATATTGGTTATACTAAAGAGAGTGAAATTATTCCTATATAGCTAGAAATGTGTTATTATATACTTACTTTTGTTGGGAGAGTTGTTGGACCTAAGAAAACTGAAATTCTTGTGAGGAGATCAATTACTCTCTTATATAATAGAGTCTTATCAACAATGTAACATTTTTTTTAAAAGAAATTAGGAGGAAATAGACACTTTTTTTTTTGAGTTTCCCATACACATTTTCACAAATAAAGTTATTGAGAAATCTCATATATAAATAATTTTTTTTAGATTCAACTTATACCTACAAAATAAGTTCCTCATGACATGAGAGAAACTCCAATGCTTAAATTAGTTTTTAAGTTTGGTTGCTCAAATAAGTATGTAAAAAATCAAAATGATGAAAATAATATTTTTAAATAAAAAATTTATATGTGAAGAGATTTGTTTATTATTTAATGGTGAAATGACCCTAGATATTGTTAAGATGAATCATCATTCTTCTCTCTTACTAAATCTAATAATATATAACTTAAACTGGAAAATATCTTAATAAGATACTAAAAATATATTAATAAAATTAGCTCTCTCTCTCTCTAAATGGTATATCTCAATCTTTACCTTTGTTTTCACCCAAACTAATATATATATATAGCTTCAGAACTTCCAAAATAATCTTAACTATTAAAAGGATGGTATGATTTTTTTATTAAAAATCACACAAAAATTATTGTTTTGTGTTGCATACAATTTATAATTATTTTGCTATTATGTATTCTTGAGTTTATTTACTTGAAATATTATATGTACGATACCTTTTTTCAATAAAATATCTTTTCTTTGCTTCATCAAATTCAAATATTTTTTTAAAAAAAAATAACATGTCAATTATCATCTAAAGTGAATTATAACTTGACCCTCCTTCTAGTTTATCACTTTTATATTTTTTTTCAATTTATTAACATATAAAATAAGAAAAATAAAAGTGATATAAAAAAATGACAACAAAAAAAGATATTCTTTTAATGCTTGAGTTGTTATTCAGCTTTATCCTTATGCATGTTTTTTTTATGATTTTAGAAATACTGGATGTGAATAATAACAAGATTTTTTACTTTATGTGTTGTTATTTACAATTTTATATAAGATCTCTTATTGTTTATTGTTCATTGTATTTAAATATATTTTAAAAATTAATTAAAAAAGTTATTATTTTTTACCAAAATCATTTTTTTTATATTAACACATCAAATCTATCAAAAAACAATAAAAAAATTATCAATTTTATATATTTTCAAGTTAAATATACTTTTAAAATGCAATAAAATATAATTTCAATTGTAATGCTAAACAGGCAACAATCGTACCTCATAGATAAACTTTTTAAATCTAAAGGTTTTAAAAAAATAACAATAGTTAATATGTATTCAGTATTGTAATGATTCTCATGATTATAATTTAAAAATAATAGATTTAATTTTTTTATAAATTATAGTCTTTCCTTAACTAATATATATATATATATATATATATATATATGACATGAAGTTTTCATGGTAGTTATAGACATAGATTATTGTAGAGTATAACAACAAAATTTTATTATAAAAAAAGCTAAATAGCATGGAGAAATCACTGTAGATGAAGAGACATTTCATTATAGATTATAATAGTAGTTTCACTTTCAATTTCTCATATTTTGTAAGTAGATAAATATTTCTTTGACTTTCTTTTGTAAGGGTAATTAGGTTTTTTTATTTTTCAAGTACAAACAAATAACAATTTTAGCCTAAAAAAGATTAAAAAAAAACAATTTTCTTTTAGGGATATTTTGGTATTTTTACTTGGATATTTTATGTAATTAAGAGGATTATGGGAGGCGTCTTAGTATTTTCACATTGTATTTTGTATTTTTTTATTAAAAAATTGTTAGAACATATTTCATATGTCTCACTAAGTGAAAAGCACTCGTGCTTTTAAGGAGACATATGAGACTTTTATAGTAGTCAAATATGTTCATATGTTGTATAACTAGATGTGTAACTATGCTTTCTTTTATTAAAGCGACATGTAAAGACATATCATGATTGAATTTTTGCCGATGATTGATTGTTTAATTTTTTTATTTTTTTTAAAGATTAAAGTACAATATTATTATCTTTTTGTTTATTGTTTGTTTGGATTTAACTTCATTTACTAGATCCAAATTGAGATCCAAATTGCTTGGACGTGATCACCAAATCCAATTTATTTTGATAGAAAAACTTTAGAATATTTTTTATACTTTTAATATTTTAAAAAAATTGATATTATATGACATGAAGCGGCCATTATAATAACGAAAAACTATAATGTGTACTGAATATATAAATATATAGATGATTTCAAATATGTAATTTAAAATAAAAAAATAAAAGAAAAAGAAAGAAGGCATACGGAGCCTTAGGATTGAAGGTAACAAGAAGTAACGTGGCAATTTTAAAGTGACTCTTCGATATTAAAGGACCCCCATGATTCGGATACTTCGATTTATGCCAACAAAAAAGCCATAAACCCTTGAATTCCTTCTCTCTTCTCTCTAAGAATCCACTGCTTCCGCTTGCAATTCAAGCTATGGTACTAAGATTTTTTCTCTGTTTTTCATATGATTTTTCAATTCCCAATTCTTTTCTATTTCAAATGACTAATATTTTCACTAAAATTCGTTTTCTTTTTTCTAAATTAGGGTTCTGTAATTAATGGAAGTTTGAGTTTTCTTTTTGTTGGATAGTAAAATATTGAGCTTTTTCGTGTTATTTGAAATGGGTTTATATATATATATAATTAATGTTTTATGCGTTGTGTTTTTTTTTTTCCCGTAGTGTTTATGACTGGTTTTGTTTTTGATGTGTAGGCAAATAGACACACTATAGTTTTGATGCAGAACTCGCAAAATAGATCCACCAGAACTTACATGGATTATGACTCAATAAGTCAAGCTATGGATGGTATGTTTGCTATGTGTTTTTTTCTTTTATTATTATTATTGTTATTATTATTATTCTTGGATGAGGTACTGGAATTGCTATTGAAAGTGTTTTTTTAAATTTCCCAAGTGAGATTTATGTTGTTTTTTTAGCATTGGAGTATATGCAGTAGCTTGAAAGGCGTACAGTTTTTTTTTGGTTTAATTTGATGATTTGTGTACTCAGTCAAGGAGGGTTTTTCGTTTTTTCATGTTTCTTGCTTTTAACATAGTGCAGATGTAATGGAATTGGTGTGATGGATTGTGGGTTTATGGTTTTGTTGTGTATTTTACTGCTTGAGGAGCTCTGTCAATAAATTCAGCCATCTTAGTTGCAGTAGTTACATGAATATTGTTTTTTCTTAGTCCTTCACGATTCTGAAAATTCTCTTTTTTGTTTAAGGTTATTGATTCTCCTTACCTTGTTCAGTTTTTTCCCCCTTGTAGTTTTTTTGTTGGAAATGAAAATAAAGGCTGGTTTGTTACATGCTGTGTTTGAAGTTGATTGGTTTTGTTCTCATCATGTGTCATCTTATTGAGATTTGGTAGTCCAGGCTTTCAACCTACCCAAAAACCTTCTGTGTCTTTAATTGCATAATGGCTGAAGCAACTCTTATGAAATAGGCGGTCAAATAATGATGGTAGCCACATGAAATGTATGAAAGTAATTTTTTTATGTAATCAGCCCAGCATAAGCTCTTATATCACTTGCTTAGCACTTAGATTTACTTCTTGACTAATCCGTAACTTTTAAAGTTTCCCTAATCATTGAGTTTGTTCATTGTGAGCATTTGCAGGTATTTGCACACTATATGAAAGGAAGCTCAAGGACCTAAATCCAGCCAACAGAAACATCACTTATGATATTGGGGATCTCTACAATTTCATTGATGGCCTTGCAGACATGAGCGCATTAGTGTATTTCCCTCTCCCTCCCCCCTCCTTCCGCACACACATGCACATCCAAGCACTTTGAAGCTATCGAACACCTTTAGACATCTGTGTCAATTATCATTTCTGGGTAGCTAAGCTTGTTGCATTTTGGCTTCGTAAAAATAGCGTTGTTTACATAACTATGAATTTGGCTGGTGAAAAGTATGAATTCCCATGGATCATGTCAAATGCTAATCACAGTTACTGTTTAACAGAAACGTTCTTGCTCAACAGTTTTGATGATTGCCAAGAGAAATCTTTACAGTTAAACACTATAAGAGAATGACTCACAAAACTTAAATTTCATTTTATTTGAGAATGAGAGTTTTCTTTTGAAAGACTAAGGTGCTTCAGGCTGTTTGGGCCTTGCTTGAAGGCCAAATAAGCATTTACTACCGTGCTGCATTTCTCTTCAGACTGTTGCTGTGGTATCCTCTTTATTTATTTCTGTCTTGCAGTTATGATCACTCAATTCAGGCATATCTTCCAAACGACAGACAATGGATCAAACAGCGGCTTCTTCAACATCTTAAGAAATTGGCACACTAGACAAATGATATACAGATCAATATTTATCTAGTACTAAAGTTTTCCGTGGGTTGAATCCAATAGGAATGCAATATTTATGGAAGTGCTGATTCAGTGTGCTGTCTTGTGAAGGCATTGTTCTTTATCTCAAGCTGTTTGATATGAAAATTGTACCGCTTCGTTTTTCATCTGAATCACTATCGTTTGTATAATTATAACAATTGAAGCGCTGCTCAAGTTATTGATGAGGAGCCACTTTTGTTTGACCGGTGTATTTTCATGGCAACTGATATCTTGTTTATGAAATTAGACATTGTGATCTAACTATCTATTGCTTGCTATTGAGGTTATTAAGGACTTCTGTCTGCCATTTTTTAATGATCAACAATTTTCATTCTACTTGTATGATGACGATCACATAGTATTGCTTAATTAAATCAAAGTGATTGATTCGAATTTAGTTCGTGAATTTTTTAGTTGGATTATCTTTGAAAGTCTTCGAATTAATAAAGACTTAGTTTATAATGCTTTTTTTCCCCTGTTTGATTTAGTTTTTTCAATATTGATTTCTGAAATCAAAGTCAAATTTTTTATGTAATTTTTTCAACTGAATTATCTGGAAAATTCATTGGTAGTTGAGAAATTTTTCTTTTTCAAAAAGATAATTATTGAAACTAGGGGTTTCATATAAATCAAAGTTCACAGGTTTAACTTCTAAGAGTCTATTTGTATTTGTGTATTAAAAATATTTTTTTAAAATTATTATTTTTTATTTTAAATTAATTTTCATAATTTTTTTTAAGTTGTTTAGATATCAAAAATGTTTTTTTTACTATAAAAAACGGCTCTAGTAAAAATTTGTATAATTCAAGCCATGATATTTATATTAAAATATTAATTCAAGTTAATTTTCTTAATAATATTAATTATTTAACCAGTATGAGTATATTCCATGAATGCTATTAATATAGATAAAAAAAAATTAAATTATTACAATGAATTAAATAATCAAATTACACAAGTTAATATATATATATGTCAAACCAATCATATTACACGAATTTTTAATACAATAAATAACTATAAATCCATATAATAATTTTTAGATATCTTGGGATAAATAACATTATTCGGAGCTCTCATTTTGATGGGCTAAATAGTTGGGCCTATTGATCCGTACCCTCCCTTAAAAAAGCCCATAAAATTCACCCACCCTCTCTATCGAGACAAATTTGTTTACTTGATTCAATCGACAGCTCTAACATCGACAAGAGCCGAAAACGTCCCTGACGAGCCCCAAATCACCCTCCACAAAAACCTTAATTCTTTTGCTGATTCAAGTCGCTCGGCTCAGCTCAGCTCTACTCGGTTGGTTCTTTCTCCACCACTATCCCTCTCTCGATTTCTTTATGATATCGTTTTTAATGTTTTTTTATTTGTTTTTGGAACAGTAAAGTTAGAAACTTGATGTTAATGTTCTGCTTCAATAACTTGAACGAAACCCTAATTCGAATTGTTTGATTAATTAGGTTCAGTTTAATAAGAAGTTTGGGGGTTTTAGATTTATTTGTTTAATGATTAGAGGTTGATTGATATACGAATTTGGTGGTTTTTGGAATGGAATTTAGGGTTTTACTGTTTTTTTGTTGGGGAGATTTAATGTGTGCTGACGTGATTTTTTTATTGATTTATTAATCTACTGATTTAAGTTTGAATGCGATTTATTTTTGTGGGTTTTGACTGAAGTTTGGAATTTGAAATGGTTGTAATGTTAGAATTTAATGCAAAGATGAGTTCTTTCTCCATTACGAGAAAAAAGACGCCATTCCAGAAGCATAGAGAGGAAGAAGAGGCAAAGAAAAAGGTGTGTATTGTGTGTTTATTATCATTGCTGAGTTCCAATCTCATGTGGTTTTGTTTGCGAAGAGATTTGCTAGTCTTTCGTATGGGCTGATTTTCATTTTTTTTTTGGTGAAGAGAGCGGAGGATGAAACAGCTCGATTGTATGCGGAGTTTGTGGAGTCATTTCAAGGGGATAATGCACCTGGATCAAAGACTTTTGTTCGAGGTGGAACCATCAATCCCAATGAGAAATTGAAGAGTGATGCTGAAGGTCAGTCAGAATTTTGATGACTTATTAATATTTACATGTGCAGTCTATTTCTCCTGTTGTTTTGCTTTATTCTGAATTGTTTCACACTATGGATAAATAGATAGTTTTATATTATCACCGGACACATTAATAAAAATATGGGCTTTTTTATCATTCGCGGATGGCAGGTGAAAAGTCCAAAGATGGGGTGTCTGTTCCAAAGAAGGGAAGTAGGTAAATTAATGCTTTTGATTGATTAACCATGTTCCCATACAATTTTGGTAAGGCATCGTAGAATTGAGAGAATTGTATAGTGATAATATCCTCTATTGTAATTTTGATTTTTTTAGATCTGTACATTAAAGAGAATAGGAAGTGAAGTTTTGGTGTGTGCCTCTTGAACTTGACGGCTTAAAAAATCTAAATTGATAGTCCGATGAATCAATTATAAGAGCATTGATTTTATGGTGAACCCTGATATGCTTTATCCACACAACAACTTTTCAATCTTTGTAGAAAGTAACTTTATATTGAAGTTTTTTACAATTTTATATTTCTAAGATGAATTTTAAACAGAAATAATACTGACCGATAAAAGCTACTTCATTTTTATTTGTTGACTATCAAATTTTACAATTTTTGGTTTTGAGGGACTAAAACAAGACTGCAAAGTCAAACAAATAAAGCATTCTAATAGTTCTCCGAGGTGCATTTAAAATTTGAAAATAGAGAATATGAGAAGATTGTATGAGATTTATCTTGGAGAGGGATGTGGATAGCACTTGATTGATTAGGTTGCAACAACAATGCAAACAGCTGTCTTCGTGACACAGAAGTTTATCTGTAATATTACTCCTGCAGGTATGTTCCATCTTTTATACCACCTCCTATGGCACCCAAAGGAAAAGAACCTGAGAGGAAGGTTAGCATTTTGATTGAGGCATCATTTATGTTGGTTCTCAAGCAAGCTGTTTTTTTCTTCCTGTAATTCATAATCATTTCCACTGTTCCATATTTTTTGCAGAGGGAGGAGGAAAGACCAAAGGAGAAGGAAAAGGGAAAGACTCGAAACATAGATCATTTTATGGAGGAGCTGAAGCATGAGCATGAGATGAGGGAGAGGCGAAATCAAGAACGGGAACATTGGCGTGAAGGACGTCATGCTGAAAGTTCTGCTGTAAGTCCCAAATTCGAATATGTACACACTATATCCTTGTTGCATCTTTCATCACTCTTGAACATATATGAATCTTTTGCTACGGTTACTGCTTTTCCCCTCCAGCCATCTAGTCGATTTGATGAACTACCTGATGAATTTGATCCAAGTGGAAAGCTGCCTGGATCATTTGATGATGGTGATCCACAAACTACAAATCTTTATGTTGGGAATCTCTCACCACAGGTCAGATTATCGCTTTGAATTTTTTTTCACCTCTACCCTGTTAATGCTCTGCTATTTATGTGGCCAAGGACATAATAATTCCTTTTTTTATCTTACAATAGGTTGATGAAAATTTTCTTCTGCGGACTTTTGGAAGATTTGGGCCTATTGCTAGTGTGAAGATAATGTGGCCTAGGACAGAGGAGGAGCGGAGGCGGCAAAGAAACTGTGGATTCGTAGCATTCATGAATAGAGCTGATGGGCAGGCTGCAAAGGATGAAATGCAAGGTTTAGTTATTTACTCTGTTTATCCATGATTTATGGGTTTATGTTGCACAGTTTTTTAACTTTGCACCAAGGCATATCTTGATATGACATGAGCAAATGCTTCTTTTTTGCTAATTGTATAGTAATATCACTAATTTGTGGTTGATATTGGAAGGATGCCATTATATTTGTGCTACTATTCAAATATTCATTATATGTTGTGGAACAGTGAAGTTATTGAATAGATGCATTTGATGTCACAGGAGTTATTGTGTATGAATATGAGTTGAAAATTGGGTGGGGTAAATCTGTGGCCCTTCCATCACAGGCATTACCTGCTCCACCACCAGGACAAATGGCTATCAGGAGTAAAGAGGTATGTTATGGTTTCCTGCCTAAACCTATTGCTCAGATCAGGTTGATCTATGTGCATGCAGTTTTTGTCTCTTGTTAATTAGTAATTTATATATGGTATGTGGATATGCATACTAATGTGATGCTGCAAGATTGATTTTCCTGTGCACAGAAGAACTTAGTCAACGCGTTTTCATTTAACATTCTCTAAATGGGCAGTTCAAGGCAGGCTGCTCGCTGTCTTCATGTGCCATGATTCTAAAATGTTTTTTGTTTTTGATAGGGTGCAACTGTGATTCTCTCTGGTCCATCAGGCCCGCCAGTCACTTCTGTCCCAAATCAGAACTCTGAACTGGTAGGTTCACTGACTTCATGTTGGCTTTATTCTGAAGTAGAGCAATAATATGAAAATGAATCATCGTGTGCTATCAAGGGTAGAGGACCATCATGTTTTGTTTTATCGCAAATGAATTCCTTTTAGAATGTTGAGCTTTTTTTCTTTTCATGTATGGTCATCTGATCCTAGTATAAAGAGTTTTCTGTCTTGAGATCCTGTTTGTCTAGTATTAAGATAGTTACTCTCGTTGGCCCTTTGAAATATGGTTTTAATGTCTTTTTAAATGAAATGATTTTTAGTTGATAATTTCTGAGCCCATGACAACTGAATTGTAAAATATAGTTACCATGGTCCATTCATGAATTGAAGTGTTGGATTCATTGTCTTGAGATGATAAAATAATTTTCACTTGTAAAGGTTTTATCTGCTATTCTAAGCACATGTTAGTTACTTTGTGTCTAGGTTCTTACTCCAAATGTTCCTGATATAATGGTTGCTCCACCCGAGGATGATCATCTCCGCCATGTGATAGATACAATGGCTCTATATGTTCTGGATGGAGGATGTGCTTTTGAACAAGCTATCATGCAGAGGGGTCGAGGGAATCCTCTTTTCAACTTCTTGTTCGAGCTTGGCTCGAAGGAACATACTTATTATGTTTGGAGACTCTATTCTTTTGCTCAGGTATTTCTTCTTGTATGCATGGATCACATGAATCACATGCATTTGGGATTTTACTTGGTGGAAATTTTGGACATTCTTGGAAAAATGACATTATTTTCCTGTATGAGGTCGCTAGATATGGCATCTGCTGTTTTCTCTGGTGCACTGTGACATATGTTAGACCTTGGATCAGTAACTAGAGATAGGTCTCCCAATCCCGTATACATGCCCTCCAATAGGATTTGATCCAAGAACTTATAGTTGGAATTCCCTGCTCAAATTATTGAGGTTCTTCTCAGGGGCCACAATCATCTTTGTTGATTTCTTGCATTTATGCAATAATTTCAATATAGGGATCTCTTATGCAAAGAAAAACTATCATTTCATTTGCTTACCTCTATGGGAATTTGAGAACGTTCAATTATGTTTGAAATGCAGGGTGATACTCTTCAAAGGTGGCGAACCGAGCCTTTTATCATGATAACTGGTAGTGGAAGGTATTGCTATTCCAATGGCTATCTGTACTAGCCTGTTTTGAAAGACTCGTGCAAATTTTTTACTGTGTTGATATGTTATATTCGAGAATAACATAGCATTATCCTTTTCTTTTAGATGGGTACCACCATCTCTGCCCACAGCAAAGAGCCCAGAGCACGAGAAGGAGTCTGGTAGTACACATGCTGCTGGAAGAAGCAGGGTACATTTCCGTTTTTTCTGGCAGGAATAACTTTTCTAAGTTGTATAATTGCAGTGTTAATTGGACAGATTGATTGTTTACAGCGTGTTGACCCTGAAAGAACACTGACTGATCCACAAAGGGATGAGTTTGAGGATATGTTGCGTGCTTTAACATTGGAAAGAAGTCAAATAAAGGATGCTATGGGTTTTGCCCTGGATAATGTTGATGCTGCAGGGGAGGTACTGCCTGATATCAGTGCCTTTTGTTTTCATTATCTTTTTCATACATTGTTTGATAGGTTTAGTTCACCATTATCTGTTGTTCTCCATCAAAGTCACAAACAGAACTTTCTGTGATCCTGTTGTGTTTTCTTTGCTACTAGTCTACAAATTGTTTCACCTAGACCTGCAAATGAGATTATGTGATCCATCGTATAATAAATAAGGGAAGCATATCTGCAATTTATCTTGATGATTGTTAATGTGCTTAATTTCTTTGTTTTTCCCTGCAGGTAGTTGAAGTTCTGACAGAATCTTTGACACTTAAAGAAACTCCTATTCCAACAAAAGTTGCAAGACTCATGCTTGTCTCTGATATCCTTCATAATAGTAGTGCTCCTGTAAAAAATGCATCTGCTTATCGCACTAAATTTGAAGCTGCTCTGCCTGATATAATGGAGAGCTTTAATGACTTGTATCGTAGTATAACTGGAAGGATCACTGCTGAGGCTCTTAAGGTGAGCTGTAATGTTGATTTCTATTCGTAGTTCAAATTTGTGTTCTCTGTTTTGTGCTTTAAGTATGAGCTTTTGTGGCTTTCAACAGGAACGAGTTCTGAAAGTGTTGCAAGTATGGTCGGATTGGTTTCTGTTTTCAGATGCTTATGTGAATGGACTGCGTGCTACTTTTCTTCGTTCTAGTAACTCTGGTGTGATCCCATTTCATTCTATATGTGGTGATGCACCTGAAATTGAGAAAAAGAATAGCACAGAAGACGCAGTTGATGGGGGAAAGACCAATCAAGATGCTGCATTGGCAATGGGCAAAGGAGCTGCTACAAAGGAGCTAATGGATCTTCCCCTTGCTGAGTTGGAGAGACGTTGCAGACATAATGGATTATCGCTTGTTGGTGGTAGAGAAACGATGGTGGCACGATTGCTGAACCTGGAAGAGGCAGAAAAACAAAGGGGATATGAATTAGATGGTGACTTGAAAATTGCTCAGAGTACTTCAAGTTCCAGTAGATATTCAAGTGTTCACAGAGAAGTGAATGTTGATCCAGGACCAGTGGGATCAACAGGGTGGAACATTTATGGAGAGGATGATACGCCATCCCAGAACAAAAGGTCCGTGTCTTTGGTTTCAACCCTCCCAATTCCACAACCTGAACTAAAAGCCTTTGCAAAGAAAGAGAAGAACGATCCTGTTCTGCCAGCATCTAAATGGGCTAGAGATGATGATGAAAGTGATGATGAACAAAAGAGAAGTGTTAGGGACCTTGGGTTAAGCTACTCATCTTCTGGAAGTGAAAATGCTGGTGATGGTCAAGGTAAGGAAGATGAAATGGAGTTTGCTACTGACGCAAGCATTCCAATGCAACCTGAGAGTGGAATGAATGAAGAGCAGAGGTATGCACCTCTACTTTTGCTGTGATCATATCTCTTTGATTTTCAAATGAGTTGGTTTTGGAAAGATCATCTTCTTTCCTGCTTTGGCATAACAAGCTTTGTGCATTTGCCTCATTTTGGCTATATGATATTGCAGACAAAAGTTGAGACGTTTGGAAGTTGCTTTAATAGAGTATCGTGAATCCCTCGAGGAGCAAGGAATGAAAAATTCAGAGGAATTTGAGAGGAAAGTTGCAGTACATCGGAAACGGCTAGAGTCTGAATATGGCCTATCAAGTTCAAATGAAGATGTCACTGGCAACAGTAAGTGGTCATTTTGCAAGACTGAATCTTTTAGGAAGCATTCTGCCAGTTATGATATTTGTTTCCATGTGCTCTGCTAGTTTTACAAATTCTTTGCCTTCTCTGATGATTTGGTCATTAGTCACATCTGCTTCTTTACTCAGCGTATTTGGTGAGCTTAGAGGCTAGAAACAATTCCAATTCTATAATTGGAAAACATAACCATTTCCCTTTGCTTTGAAACTCCAGAGAGAATATCTTCTGAAAGGAGGGACAGACGTGATGATAATCATGAATCCTCAAGAAAGCGACACCGCAGTGAAAGCAGAAGCGAAAGCCCACAAAGAAAACTATCACTTAGGGACAGAGAGAGGGGACATGACTCGGACAAGGACCGGGAAAGGCATAGGGAA